CCAAAAGGTGCAATTTTGGCCCCTTTTTTTCTGTGTGGCCTGGATGAGTGTAAGATTTCCCGGCCTGAAATTGCGTCCCAGTCTGGCCCTGCTTTTGCATACAACTGTAATACAGATCTTGTGCATGTTTCAGACAGGCACAGGTTCGTGAAGGTGTGTTCAGCCCATTAGAGGTAAAAGCAGAAACAAATGAGGGGGACTTCTGGTTATGGTGCTTTTCTTAGATTTTATCCATTTTTTATTTAAGCGTCGTCTATAGTTTGATTTCTAAGTAAATGTTGTTCAAGATGTTGCCTAAACCAGCAAAGCAAAAACAAAAAAACAGAAATAACAGAAATCGTGTCAGACTCGGAAGGCCTTGAAGAGCTGTTGCGAGTCATGCACGGTGAAGAGAACTCTTCATCCAGTTATGGAGATCAAGGCTTTCACACAGACTCAAGTGATATCCTACTGGCAATAAACTCACTGAAAGTCAACATGGCCTCTCAGTTTGAAACCATCCTTTCAGCTGTACAAGATGTCAAGAATCAAGTTGCAGAGTGTTTCAGGAGACTGACACAGACTGAGGAACGCATTTCTCAGACAAAGGATGCGGTTACTACACTTCAATCGATGACCAGCGCTCTCAAAAAGAAAGTTACTGTGCTTACCTGGAAGGTGGATGACCTGGAGAATCGGAGTTGGCAGTCCAACCTAAGGCTGTTAGGTTTACCAGAAAAACCAGAGGGCAGTGACGCATGTGCATTCTTAGAAAGCTGGTTACCTGAGGCACTGAAAATGGAACCACTGCGAAAGCCCCTGGCCATAGAGAGAGCACACAGAATTGGGGATGTGCGACGGTATGCTATGGACAAGAACTCAACCCGAGAGTGATGATCATGAAATTCTTGGACTACAGAGACAAGGAGCGTGTAATGCATGCGGCCAGAGCGAAGAAAGATGTACTGTTCCAAATTCACAGAGTCACGTTCTTTCCAGACCTTTCTGCTGAGGTAAACAAGCAACGAATACACTTCGACAAAGTCAAGAGGAAGCTACGTGCCAAGGGCCTGCCATATAAACATCTATGACTGTATAGTTTCATAAGTGTCAATGAAGAGTCTCTTCTCGATCTGAATGTTTATCTCGTCTCATTCTGCATCTTTTTTTGTCTTCCATATTGGATCAGATTACAGACATTGAGAAATAACCTGCAGGAAACAGCAGTTTGTTATTAAACGCTGATTTAGATTCAAATTGATCAGCAGAATCAGTGTTAGCAGAACATGTTTTGAGGAGGAGGGTAAATATCTGAGACGACTATGAAATATTTTGATCTGGAGATCTGGTAGACTGGTATTAGAGCTTTTGCATAATTCTTCTGACACATCAAAACTGAAATGTAATGACAATTTAAGATAAAACAAAGATGATAAAAACTACAAAATCATTTAACTTTACTTTCAGAGTGCAGATTTTTTAATACCTTACCAAGTCAATGAATATATATATATATATATATATTTTTTTTTTACATGTATTGAAATCTACTGTAATAAGAATTAAACAGAAAATACACAGAGTGTCACAAACAACTGGCAATATTGTGTAAAATGTGGTACCAGTACAAATCATTTCTGAAGAACAAACAAAAGGTTTTCTTGTTTGACTTCAAATCAAGGACTGGATCATTCTGTAAAGTGTGTGATGATCACTATGGGTTTGTGTCTGTTGATTCTGTTGAATGTGATGTCTGTCTGTAGCTCTTTATTCACCATCAGCTGATCCAACATCTAAAACCTATAAGTAAAACACAGACAATCAAATGTGTGTGACATTATATGCATTACCCACTTTAGAAGAACTCAAACAATTTGCATTATTAGTCAGAGATTATAAACTAACCATGTCCTGAACGTTTTTTTAAAGCTCTTTTTTAGATTTTTATTTAGCATCCAAACCACCCTACATGATGATCCCTCACCCTTATCCATAATTTTGTATGGCTGTCCTCTTTCTGTTACTGGTTCAGTTTTATGACAATGAAAGTAGTGATAATTATTTACCATTATCTTCTATTGCAATTGAAATTCAAAATACATAATTTCATGCATAAAAAGACTATGTTTATATATGCCCCAGTAATGTAATTATTTCCCAATGTTATCACATTAAGATGTTTAAGATGACACAAGCAAACATCTTCACTCTCGTTTACATGCATTTTTCATTACTCTGATCTTTCACTAAGAAGTGTGGTTATTTTTACCGCCATTATTCACAAACCCCAATGCACAGCACAAATGATGAACTCGCATACAGTAGATTTGTTATTGGCCACTGTTTTAATCTACTTATGTCAAATGCTAAACATATTTCTATGGACGTATTGGGTGGTTATTTGTCGCTGCGACGAACATCTAAATGTGACAGCAGTGCCTCTGCAAACAGGGTTACCTACACTGCCAATGCATTCTTCATGCAGTCTCTGGATGAAGATAAGGAGCAGAGACTAGTGACAGAGAGTTGTTGACCGAGTTCAGTGATTCGAAGTGGAGGAAAAACTACAGAATAATGTCACAGAGTTCATTCATGGAGTTGTGTGAACAACACACGTCATATCTGTGTACATCTAAGCACACACGCACTTTAGTCAGACCGGTAATAATGCGATTAATGTGTTTACATGCCTGTTTGTTGCTATTAAAATCGGCATAGCCACATATTTTACTACGATTATGGTTACTACAATAATGAGCTTAATCGCATGAATTTGATTGAAGTATTGTGTTTGCATGAATACAGTAAATCTCATTATAACCGCATTATGAGGGTGCATGTAAAAGTAGTCAATGATCAAAGCAAAACACTGTATTGTTTTTCAATGTAAAGGCACATTAATATACTTAATTCTTAATATAAACAGAATTAAACCCTTATTAAGCATGTTTATACAGTGTAAGTAACTATTACATAGAAAGTAACCTAAGAAGAAGAAACTATATTAACTTTCAATTAAAATTCAAACATTTTAATCACCACTACTCACTCAAGCAGATTATAATGTGGATCGTCCTTCAGATCAGAGAGCAGATTCACATCTGAATCTCTTAGTTCATTTCCAGTTAGATCCAGTTTTCTCAGGTGTGAGGGGTTTGATCTCAGAGCTGAAGCCAGAGCAGCACAACCTTCATCTGTGACTCCACAATAACTCAACCTGTAGAGAACAATGACACTCTTCAGTCTCTCAGTTCAGGATCTACAGCTCAGATCAGCAGCAACTTCACAATCAGAAAGAGAGACTTAATCCATGACATGATTAACCGATCCAGTCTAAAGTTCAGACCTGCTTCTACATGTGCTTGAGGGAGTTTCAATATCTTAAAGGTCCCATATTGTCAAAACTGAAATTTCCTGGCTTTTTTCATGATAATTGCCATGTAACTACCATATAAGTTTCAAAACAGTCAGTCCACAATCAAATGCACACAGCCTGCATAAAGTAGCGGTGATTTTTCACGAACCGTTGCGACTTCCGTAAAAAGGTGACATCA